AGGATAGACAATCCCCTTCTCAATTCAGGAAAAATGTACTTGCCAATATTTACTTTGGTAACCATTAATTAGCTAGCAGTGTGGCACAACTCCAAGTATCTCCAAAACTAAGTCCATCCTTCAAAGTTGTGCCCAAATATACAGCAGAACAATTGAGCCTTTTAAAATAAAGGAGGTTAGTGTTACGCAAATAACACTGAGCACAATGCCTCGAGAATTTAACGCTCACGTTGACGCATTCAAGGTGAAGACGTGCTGCGTTTCCTAAGTGTAATACATAAGTTTGATGAAGCCTTGAGTTGGAACTCGGACAAAAATGATTATTTGTTCTACTAACGCTGCCATGGCATAACAATTGCTGCACGATGCTCGGTTAGCACCTCTTCCCTGGCCACCCTCATGCCCTCAGAGAGAAGTCTAATAGAATTGCACATATTTATTGGCTAGAGTGAGTAGGAATAGATACATGTTTAGGGTGACCGTGGCACTCAGCTCTTTAGCCTGGGAGCACCACGGCGTTCGAGTCCACCACCCGCTTCTTCTTTCAAAGGTTCTGCATGCGGCCCGCGTCTACTTATGTGTGCTCATATGAATCCATGGATTGATACGCCTTGTCACTTGATTATGGAGAACAAGCAAGATCTTATTAAGGGAATGTTGCTGATTTACAGAGCACTCAACTCACAGAGGTGTCCAACGCTTTGGTTGACCCAACACCTCGCTTGCATGATTAGGCCGCCAGGCATCTTGACGAGCACCCCAAGCAGTGAGCATCAAATGAGCTATCAAGGAACAGGTCATAGCTTCATACTTTACTGGGTGCTAGTCCACTTATATGCAAGCGTGTTTACACCACGATTTATGACATAAAATACAACTGCATGCTACCCTTTTCAAGTCTAGTGTTTTACATCTGCTCCAAAGTGACAAGGCCTTACTGCCGCAAGGGCAGCTCTTCAGACAGATGCCTTTAGACTAGATAGCACTTTCAGTTCTAACAGGCAACTTTTTCCTCTGGCCACGATTATTACTTAAACCAAATTCAGTTAGTTGGTGCGAGAAAAAAGTTAACGCTTTGGAAGCCCAATAGTTTAGAAATGGCGGCATTCTGCGTTGTCCTTGAAGGTTCAGAAAGGCATAGACCAGCTCGTTGCGACTACACGCAAATGAGAGAAGTAGTTTACTATGGCAGTCTACTGTCTGCCTATATGGTCAAGCTGCTAAGCAGAAGTACAAACCACAGTGATTAGAGTGCTTGAGTAGTTAACTGCGAAAATCTGTCAAAATTACAGAATGGTATGATTGTTTGCTGCGCAAAAGTGGACTTCCACATATCCATGCTCAGATTTACTAGCTACAGCGGAACAACAGTCTTATCTCCACTAAGTCGTCTTTATTATTCCTCAAGATTGTGCAATTTTCGCTGAATTTAGGCAGTTTTGAGGTACTTTGGCTTTTTCTTTAGCAAAGTGAACATTTACTGCTTGGAATGAATTAGACAGTGATGCAGCCATCATTGCTGAATATCACGTCAAAATTGACAATTTCATGCGGCTGTAATTGTGGTTTGACTACTCATGTAATATTTTGTATCACTCCAATTTAAATCAGTCGCCTACAAGATTAACTGAAGTGATTTTTTGAAGGAGCATTTAAGCTGTCAGTGAACAAGCTGTATCATGGAAGAAAAGGCTCAAGATGTAGCAAAGTTATTTCCCTGAATTTTGCCTTTTTTATATTTGTCACTCGTAGCTAATAGTTGTGGATCAAAAGCAGATACGCATAGTCACTAATGGCAACCCGAAAAAAATGTTTTGTATAGGTGAGTGACTAATGAAGTGTTCATGACGATCCAGTTTTGCATTGGTGCCTGTTAGGGCGTGAATGTTGTAAGAACTTGACTAGAAAGACAACTCAGTTATTGATACAAGCCATTCTGAGGCACTTTAGTCTAACCCAAAAATCTATGGGAGCACTGAATAAGACACGAGAGAGTCACATTACCTGACCCAGCATGCTGTCCCAAAAACTGTTTACATGCCACGCGCTTGCTGTTTGACGTATGATTACATGCACAAATCATCTGCTAGACTTTAAATCAAAATACATCCGTGTCGTGAGGAGAGCTAGCGTGATTTCCACAGCCAGTGGACTGCGAAAGTAAAGGCAGGCCTTGTTACATATCATACATGGTGCGTTGCCAATGAGATGACCTGCGATTGCTGTGTGAGGAACAGTGGCAAGGAGAATCACTTTTAAACAAGTGCGTCAGATATAATAGCCGTGAAAATTTCCAACTTTTGGTGCAAGCAGTGTGATAGGGCGGAAGATCCTCCAATGCATCGGTACCTACAATGTGCACGATCCCACATCAAACCAGGTAAGCGCAATCCAAACGATGCATAGCATTCACAATGTCCATCAACTGCTGTTAGGTTGGTAGAGCCCTGGTAAAGTTTGTGGTCTCCCTCAAATTCGGGACCACTGCAGTAAGCGCTGATATGAAGCAAATTAGGAGAGCAATTCGTCAGGTAAGACGATTGAATCGTAACTTCTATACCTTTTTTCGCACGTAAGCACGAGAGAAATGGCCGGATCATCTGCGAGGAGACGTTAAGTGAAACCGAAGAAGAGGATGCAAGCTGATACTACAGTGGCGCTACTACATGTTGCAGAGCATGCCTTTCCACCAAATCTTAGCCAGCGTGTGGGGTGAATTGACGTTGATAGTGGATGTCTGCATGCATGGACATTGAGTAACGACTGAAATGTCCTATCAATGGAGGTGGAAAACTTGAACAATTTCCTCAAGCTTTTCATGGACATGAGTCAGGTTGTCTCTCCATTAGTGAGGATATTGGACGCCGTGGTTGCCAGCGCATTATCTATAGCAGTTATCAACGTGTCCTTTTCATACAGTTTATAGAACAACCACTTGATGCATGGGGCTGCTAAAGGCAGGCAAGTCATTATGTACTTAGCGCATGTTGAGTGTCAGTAGACCCAGGTTCAGCAGTGTCAAAGGCTAAATGCTACCTGAAGCAGGAAATTACATCTTGAGCTTCCACCGCTACCCCTTTCATCACCTACATAAACGAATTTATTGTCTTCATAGAAGTCAAGAAGAAATTGCTTATTTGAGCTCATTTAGTTCACCACAGAAATAACGCGAGGTCTGGTTGGGATGTAGATGTCCCTGGAACAAAATAACGAACGGAAAGTATTCGTTTACACTCTTATCCTCTAGGCATAAGGGGTCACGATAAGGGAAGCACCACGATCAATTTATTCCTTTTTCCATTCACTTAGGAAGGGGAAATGACTGCTCATTTCGCAAGGCGTAACAATGCTTCGTGCCATCTATTCTATTTTGCAGTATTATCCCTCCTAGTGCTGATTGTACTCCTTTGTTGCATAAAACCTTTTGGGGTTTAAGAAGGTGGAAGTAGTTGAGAGACCGCGCATTCTATCACAGTGACAGCGCTAGCGATGGATGGTAAGGGTTAGTGTGGTTTATTCCTGATGTTCCAATGGTTAGGATTCCTGGCTCTGTTGAATGTGGCCCGGGTCTACAAATGCTCACACATCATAATGGCTGCATATCTGCATATTTTTTTTCTGGATGGCTGGCTGGTGCTAATATCGGCTTTAGATAAATGGCGCAGATACGCGTCAATCGTAGCGTCCATTCAACAGAGGTGGATATGCATTTGGTAATCCGCCTTGCGGATCACGACAGTTCATCGGCTAGATAAAGCTGCACTGGACGGGTTTAGGCTTGTTCCTCTTCCATAACTACACGCCTCATCATGAAAGGGAAATGTGCCAGCTTCATACAAAGTAAAGAATTTGGTTTTACTGGTAAACTGCAAGTTCAATTTCTTAGGCATTTCCC